GTTCACATGGACTAAGTTCATACATGCCGTCTCTCCTGAGAAATGTTCAGCAAAAATTTCAAAACATACCGGACATTATTTCGTTCGCTAATCTCCGCTACTCGTCGTCTCACCTGGCTTCAGAAGATGTTACGAGAGATAGGAGAGTCTCCAGCAGGCAGCGCATCCATATTCAGGAAGTGGAAAGAGCGAAAATGACACAATTCTTCAGTGATCGACCTTCTCTCTCACGGAGCTAAGCAGAATGTGCGTCATCACCTGTAGTCGCCATGGAAACGGGATCAGGAAATCGGCGATATGGCAAGTTTCCCTTGGCGTATGCAAGCGAGAGATATACCATCGGAACCGATATCCAATTGTCTTTCATCTGAGCCCTACTTGAAAAATCGATGCACTTCCCCTTTAACGATAACAGTTAACGGCTACGAGACTGAATCTCTGCAGGATTTCAGGATGCAGGACGGAGTATCATCGGAGCCGGTGGCTTTGTTGGATACCAGAGATTCAAGCAACTTGGAGATGGTATCGACGCTGACGGTATCAAACTCCAAAAAGAGTAGTGCTATTGGGGTCTGCAACGGGTGGGGGCAGCTCGACTGGTCTGGCAGGGTCATGGACGATCTCGGCGACTGAGGTAGTTGTCAGATCAGCGATTGTGGCTGCTGGGGCAGCCCTCACTGCTGTTCTACCAGACAAGCTATTGATAACGGCCCATTGTCCTCGTGGGTCATCGCGACGATTTTTGAACTCTCTGATGTAATACTGTGACTTCAGCTGCCTGTTGAGGAGAGTGCCTTCTCACCGTATTGCACGATACCTCTGCAGAAGCTGCTGATCTGACGGGTTAGTGCGTACCTTTCTATGTAGGTGGATTCGTTGCTGGAGGAGATGTTTCAACTGAGGTGTCACCCATGGCTGAGGCTTCGGCTTACTGAAGGCTGGTGAGACCACGGGGCAGATCGGTGAATGTTTGTCTAAAACTCGAGTAATACACTGTCCCTCCAGGAAATCGCGATTCCACGAATGCAACAAATTTCGCGATTTTCGCCCAAACCTGCGATTTTCAGGAAAATCCGCGATTTCCCGCTTTTTTTGTTGTTTTCTGAACTATATCTCACTTTTTATGCACTTTTCACGCAGTGCTTTCCATGATCCTGTAGGTTATTTGCACAGTACGACTCGTACTACTCCCAATTAGATATACGATGCAACAAATTTCGTGATTTGGCCCAAATCCGCAATTTTCTGTAAATAATTCCGCGAATTCCTGGCAAGTTCTGCATCATTCCGCACTTTTCGTCGCATTTTTTGTTGCTTTCTGCCGCAATTTCTTGCGCAAGTTTTCGAGAGTTTTTTCCGCAAATTCCCGCAGGGACAGAATACAGTCTGAAAGCTGGGCGACTTGTGCATTGACATCAGCTGAGTCAGGCTGCAGAGTGCTGTCGATATCATCACAGAGTGATCAATTGCATGTGGGAGCGGTTTGCGCACGAATTTGAGGCGGGAGTTAGCTTGCTGCGTGGCTTTGTAGGATAAATTAGTCAGAACGAGATCATGGTCGTTCACGCCGTCTACAGATACTACAGTTGTCTTAACATGTGGTGCGGCAGCATAGAAGAGTATTAGATCTAGACATGTCTTGGCAAGTCGCGTTAGTGAAGTCACGACATTGCGGAGGTGAAACTCCTCACACAGATTGGACAGGTGCTTGTAATGGTGGTTATTGGATGTTTGCTGTAGCACATCAGTGTTAAAGTCCCCTTGTACAATGACCCTGTTAAATTTACGGCTGATGACGTCAAGATGCTGACTGCACAGGTTCCAGAAGTCGACAGTTGCACTCGGTGGACGATATAATTATACTGCACACAGCCAGCTCAATAGCCTTAGGTTTGGTACACAGGCGAAGACGAACAGAGACACACTCCACTCCTAGCTCAGTGATGGGAATTCTGATAGAATGAATGTCAGAATGGACATAAATGCATACCCCTCCACCATGTAGATCTCTATCCTTGCAATATAGATCGTAGCCTGGGATATGAACACTAGAATCGGGTATGCTGCTGTTTAGGTGGGTTTCATTCACTGATAGTACGTGGAGCTTATGGTGGTGCAGGAGATGGTGAATGTGATGGACCTTGTTTCTAAGACTACATAATAATTATAGTGATACATTTCACCCCGCTGATGCATTATTTTCTTCCGATTATCATCTTCTTTCCTTCATTTTTTTCTTCTCTTGCCATGGCTGGCTAACGCCCCCCTCCTTTGCATTGGCTTCTGCCATTGGACGGTGAAATAATAATATTAATGTGAGATAATTATGGTGAATTGGCTTACTGCAATGATGACTTCTGGCTCTTCGGGTAGCAGCACAGGTACGCATATTGGTTTAGGTGTTCTGCTTTGTTTCACGAAAGTCCCACGGGCGAACGTGTATTGGTGCTGGCCAGAACCCATCCTTCTCGATCAGTATTATAAGTATAGAAAGAGAAAGAGTTCAGGGGCATATTGCTGCTATGACTATAATGCTACTTGTAGAAGAGGCGCCAGTGCACTGTGCATTATCATTTCGTTGGAGTGTGTTTGTGTGTGTGTGTGTGTGTGTGTGTGTGTGTGTGTGTGTGTGTGTGTGTGTGTGTGTGTGTGTGTGTGTGTGTGTGTGCATGGGTTTGTGGATGTGCGTGGGTGTCTGTGTGAAAGCACTTCGGGCTTTTCGTGAATTTATCACCGCATTGTCTTCTTTGAATAATTGTTGTTGGTATCATACTTCTTTGAGGTATCATTATCTTTATGATTCTGGCACGTCACGGTGGGTGCGATGTAGCATATCATACTTCATAGCATCACACATTGCATGTATATAACTGCTCCTTTGCAAACTTGCACACCATTGCATACCTGATGAGGGCAAATTTGCCGAAACGTTGTAAAAAATTGATTGAGAAATGAGTTCGAGTTTGCAGAGTGAATGGGAAGAGAGCGAGTCTGCTCTGAAAACTTCTTTTCCTATGAATGAAGCTGCAGGAAGCCTCACCACTGCTACTTGTAGAAGAGGGTCAACATAATGATTTGGATCCACTGATGGCAGGCTAGTGTGATACATGTGCATGGCTAGCACCAGTCATGAGCAGAGCACCAGTCACTCTGTTGCAGGTGACGGCATGCAGCAATCTTGCAGTTGCCTCCGGGATGGCTGCTTGTCCAGAACTGCCTGTGGCAATCTATTCCACACTGGCACGATGCAGTATGGGAAAGAGCGCAGAAGGTAGTATGGAGCTCGTGGCGAGAGATTCCGAAATAGTTTTATTCATTGCATTACTAAGATCATTGTCTCCACGTCGCCTTTTCGATCACATCTTTGCATATTGAAAATGCTTTGTTGTTCATTAAACTTCATTGCGCTCCGTTCCGCCAGTCACTCTGCGCTCTCCCGACTAGACCCAACAAGGTCGAAACAGTTAACTGTCTGGAGATTGAGTCTTTGCATTTTTGAATAGAGATCTGATTGACGTATCGTCTTCGGATGATGCGGCTACGAAAGCATCCGCTGTATGAATATACCAACACTGTTAGAGTGTAGGTGAATAGAGCGATCGAAGGCTGACGTGAAGGCCATGACAAGGCGCTCACATGACTGTCATGAACACGGCTAAAAGCACTGACATCTTTGGCAATCTGACAGACAAATTAAGTGCACGAATAAAATTAGCATCCACCCACACCCATCAAATAAACACCAGCTGGAAACGGGCACAACATTCATTGGAAGTAAATCCTCAGCGGCACGGCCCGGAGCATACCCACGCGAAAGACAAAACACCAGAGACGCTCTTGCTCACATCCCAGCACAAGTTCTTACAATGTACATACATACATGTACAATGTAGCTCGTTCGCTACCATCACCCCAGCAATGGGCATGTCTGAGTCTGAGCCTGAGTGTGCTTGTGTGTGTGTGTGTGTGTGTGTGTGTGTGTGTGTGTGTGTGTGTGTGTGCAAAAGAAAAAAGAAAAAGACCAAAAATAGGGATTCACTGGCCAGAAAAAGTCACTTCAAATAGCTGTATGGTGTAGACCAGGCTGAATAGTGACGGTCAATTCTTCAGCCTTGCAAGCTGTTGAATGGTGCAATCCCAGCACAAGTTGCTATGGCTTCTGCCGTAGCATTGCTATCATCGCCTCTGGCGATGGGCGTCAAAGGTCAAAGGTGTGTGCGTGCGCGCGCGTGTGTATGTGTGTGACAGTCACTGAGTGTGTGTGTGTGTGTGTGTATGACAGTGTGTGTGTCACCACCGCATTGATGCTGTCTGGATCGTTATCGGCAACAATAACACTATTGGTTATTTGAGGTTTGCTAAACCCCAGTGATCCCAGGTTGGCAGCGAGTTCGAAACAGTTATCATTCCACTCGAATCGACACTGAACTGCTACTATTCGCCTGGTATGAACCCAATGGACGGCGCCAATGAGGAACCTTGCAACCAACTCAATGCCACTGTCAGCTCTTAAATCGAACAGTTGGATTTTGTCACAAACAATTCTGCTGCGATTCTCCGGGACTACAATTCTGGCCAGAGAAATCCGACTTCAGGAATAAAGTACATGACATTATTATGTACATGTACATGTACAAACAGTGAAACAGTTGCTGTCCACAGATTTGAGTACATGACATTGTACAAGTACATGTTTTAGACTGTCGCGCTGAAGTGTGCAGAGTGGTATGTGTGGTGCTAGGGCCGCGGGCGCGGAGCCTCCTGCACTATTATATTCATGAGGTCGGATTTCGTCAGGACTGCACTGGGTCGATTATTCACTGACACCTACATGTACATATTATTGTCTTATACATACAAGTATAAGTATGTGTTCCACATAACGTGTCACTTAGAACAGTTCGAGAACTAATGTGAAGAAATGGTAGGAGTATAAAATGTGTGAAGATCTTTCACTATAAAAGTACCTTCTGTGCCGCCATTTCTCAGATTTTTTTTCCTAGAAGCAAGACTAGCAATTATTTGCCGTTCTCTTCCAACGAGTCCGTTTTTTCTCGTCAGGCAGAAGTTGTAGTTCGAACTCCGGGCCCGTTCAAGAGTCAAGGCCTACGTGAACGTGAGCTGCCACACGTACACAGGGACTGCCGATCAATCTCCCTCACAGAATGCCGCCTTCATGTTTCATGATGGCCGCCATCGTGTTGCTACTGGCAACGGCTGCTCCTGCGTTTGGTGATCCAGTTCCAGTTTCAGCCATGCCAGATAATCAAGTGCCGCTTGGTAAGTGAAGTTGTTTTCTCTGTGTGGCGTGGATGAGGTGCAGAATGAAAAACCATACATATGTGCTGGTACATGAACTTGGCCTTGGTACTTGTACTGGAATAAAAATCGTATGCCCTATCCAATTTACATGTACACGTATATGTGCTGAGTTACAACAAAAACAGCCCTATTTTTACTTCCTTTTGTGTACCTCTTGCGTACTACGCTTTGCCCATTCCGGGTATTTGAGCACTATTGCAGGTTTTTAAGGCGCGCAGCCTCTGTGTATATGGACGATGTAGATTCACTGGAGAAAAAATGGTTTCTGAATCTGAGGTATTTCATGTACACGAGGGAGGGGAAGCTGTGTGGCAACTAAAGGTTTCACGCAGTCACGACCATCAAATTATGTATGTTTCATTCTATTTTATTTTTAAAAGGAACATCCAAAAAACATGTATTTCGATGTAGATCTACATGTACATGTACTCCATCTCGGAAATATTTGCATGTACATGTACGTTGTATACCCCATTAGAATCCACTGCGGTACAGGAAGACAAGAGCTTTTCTGATAATGAAAGCACGTTTAAAATAGCAGAAGACACACGGGAACAAGTTAAGAAGCAACTGTCCACGACTGTGATAAGATAATATGCAGTCAGAAAGTGCGATAACAGGGCACAACACTGACAGGCTACTGTAACGTTCCCATGTGTTTTCTTCTATATTAACGTACGTCTCTTATTGGCTCACAGTATCCGAGGCTGAAAAATGCAAAATAGTTTTTTCTACATCACGTCCGCCTGCTACCTCTCACTTTCGCACTTGGCACTTCACGCTTAGCAGTTTCTGTTTTGTGGGCGCCTGGCTGAATAGCTGAGTGTATCTTGTAGTGTAGGTAAAGGCCTCCTTCAGTTCGTTACGTTGCCTGATTTAGGCATTGGCGGATAATGCTAAAAAAGGTGGCAGATTCTGCTCGAAAAGCAGTGAAATTGGCAGAACCATACAGACCTTATGGCGGGCAATTATTCGAATTCTGCTCCATTTCTTTATCCACATACCAAACATGCATGAAACGTACCAGAAAAAGTACCGAATTCTGCCAATTGTTCTGCCGGCATTATCCGCATATGCCTACTGATGATGGATGGATTCAAGACTTTGAGTAACTTTAAATATGTTTGGGCACAGGTTATGCGATCGAGTCCACCAACAAAACCAGATTTTGAAAAGTCAGACGTGCACAATCTCGCACAAAACTGACAGGGAGTACTAAGTCATTCCACGGCATGCAAGTCAGCTCCTTGCTTGTGCTCGGCTCGATGGCGCTCGCCTTCCCCTCTTTGGAATTAGCACTAATATCCATGAACATTCCAAGCTGCAGCGCCGTTGGTTAGCGCTATCGAGCACTGCTGAAGCTCATTTTCATGCCGTGGAATGTCTCAGTACTCCTTGTCAGTTTTGTGCTAGACTATGCACATCTGACTGTTCAAAATCTGGTTTAGTTGGTGGAGTCGATAGCATAATTTCTGCTCATAATTTCCATGCTACAATCTTTTTCCTTGGCTTACCATCTGAGTTCATAGGTACTTAACGCTTGTTTGTTTTTTATCATGCAGTCGCAGCAAGGCCAAGTTGCATGGTTCGTTGGATTACCCAGTCCGGTGTGGAGCAGGAGATGGCGGAGAAGTACGAGGGCATCTTCAAGAGCATTGGCATGAGCGAAGCCAAGCTGGTTGAGCTGGACACGGATGTGCTGGCGTTCCTGATGGGCATGACCGACGCTCATGCCACTATGCTCAAGTCCTGCCTTGGTATGTACATTTCAAGTACACGTATACTCAGTAGTTGTTGTCTTTAGACACTTGAATATCCACAATGATAATAATCTAGGACAACTTGTGCTTCAGAACCGTGAGACATAATGTCCACTCTTGGAAACATTGGCCAATTGACGTTAGCAAGACTGACTGTATGACAAACCATTCAATCTGCTTCATACCCAATGCTCTAGACAGCAAGCTGTTTCGGCCATCTAGGCCATCTAGAGCTGATCGGTACAGCTACGAGCTGTTGAAAGTAAGCCGAGCTACCGGCCATGGTGCCAAGCGGGTACCACAGACATTTTAAAAGATAGCTCGTTGTTCTAGCGCCAGAGTAGTACTCCTTGAAACTGCGAAAGGTAGCGAACGATGCATAACGCATCAGCACTGCCGAGAGTGCTCAACAAGACGAATGTCGAGGAGCCTAATACAGTGTAGTAATAACCAATGCTGTAGACAGCAACCTATTAGGTCCAAATCTACTTCATATCATAATTGTTGTTGAAACACACATGTATTCTGTATGTTTCAGCAATCATGTACCACACTTCATACCCTTGAAGAGTGGATCCCGGGTTAAGGGTCCACCTAACTCTGCGCGGACATAGCTGGACTCAGTTGTACAGGGATGGGCAAAAAGGTGTGCAAAACGACTTCTTGTGAGTAGATGGACTCCGGAAAAATAGTTTGGTGCGAAAAAAATTACGGCTTCCTCGGAAACCGACGGGTGACCCCCCTTGGGCCGGAAATTAAATCCCGGTATAAGGATCACCCGCACAATGTACATGCCAAGTGACCCCCCCCCCCCGGGCTCCGATCCCTAATCCGGTTTGACCCTTAACCCAGGTTCTACTCTAGAGTCTACCCTGTGTGCAAAGCCACTTTAGCGAGCCATCAAAGTGTTTTTGTCTCATTACTCGAATTTTTTTATTTTCTCTCTGTTTTATGATACCTTGTTCTGTACAACAGGCGGTACGAATCCGTTATGTGCTGGTGCGTTCGACCCGTGCAACACTGAGGGAGAGTGTGCGTTCAACACTGATAGTCGTTCATACATGTGTCAATGCCAGCCAGGAAGAACGGGACACTATTGCGAGGATGGTGAGTGAAAACAGTCCCCGGACCCCGGTGCACTTCTCCACTGATAGGAATAAAGTAAAAGTACTTTGGCATACAGGTCAGCCGTGTTCAGACGCGGTCCACACCATTCTCTTGTGTCGGTATTGGTATTGGTATTTCTATTTACTTTGCATCCATAACAAACGGGTATCGGTCAGAGAATGATAAACAAACTAAAAATTGAAGATACCCCGGATATAGTGCTAGCCGCTAGAGACGCGAAAAAAGGGAAGTATTTTTAAAGTTTTGGATTGTTTCCGAGGCTGCCGTGGACTGGATTCTAAGCGAGCCGAATATCACGCTGTGACATTCATGCCACGATTAGTCCTACAGTGCGCCTAACCCTGCCATAGTCTATATTCGGTCAGAAAGTCTTCACCATAGTCTTGATAGATAGTCTTCATTTCTTGGAGTAGACCCTGTGTTCTTCTGTGCTGTACTTCTTCACGTGTATGATTTCTACACACAGAAATTGATGAGTGCGGCAGCGAGCCCTGTCAGAATGGTGGACGATGTGTGGACGCATTCAACTCATTCAGTTGTAACTGCTCAGTTGGCTACGAGGGAGATCTGTGCCAGACACGTAAGTATCGTTTGGCTATTCTGTGAGCCCAATTCCACATCGTAGAACCCTCACCTTTCCTTAGCGTTTCACGGTTGCGCCACTAGGGACGAATGCTAGGAACACCATTGATTTTCTGTTATTCTGAGTTTCACGGGTTAAGTCCAAACAGACTTCGATCTGACGTGCATGCTTGTGTTATGACGGCACAAGTCCTAGTGCTTATGCCGCTCTAAACCACTGTATGTAACATCGATGCATGCATAGCTTAAACCACGCATCCACGGAACCTCACGCAGCCTGTGAAGTAAACATATGATTTAAATATCACTGTTTGGGTCCTTGTTTGAAAGAAGAGACGGCATTTTAAGGATAGAATTATAATAAGTGCTGCCGTCATTGCCACACAACTTCGAAGTCTCAAAGGATTCTGCCAGAATCGATTTTCTTGTCACTTTCAATAGTGGACATTCGTTTGGAATTGCATGTACATGTAGTTTTGTTTCATGTACGCATGACATTTCGCCAAAGCAATCATCTTGCATGAGACCATGTCCAGTTTGTGTTGGAGTCCTGAATCAGGTTCAGGAGGTTGATTTTATGGCGATCGAGTTTGTTCCTTTCTTATTGCCATGTCATGTTCTTATTATGAAATCATATTCTGAACTTAATATGATGTCATGTTCTTATTATGAAATCATATTCTGAACTTAATATGATGTCATGTGTGTGTGTGTTAAAAACAACCACTGCATGAACTTCACGTGCTTTGTGCAGGCTGGCTCACACTCTCACGATATGACTCAGTCCCAGAAACATTGATGCAGTTATCGTACGCTGTCCAGTCTCTGAACACCAGCCTGGAGGAGGAAAAGGCCAAAGTTAAGGTACCTGTAGCTCGCGACACTATCGCCATTTGGACCTTTTATGCCAAAAAACATACATGTGCGCGTGTACATGCAAGAGTGTACAATCATGTACAATGTGTATTCTTGCATGTACTCGTGCATATACACAGTACATGTACAATGTATGCTTACAGGGGTTGCGGGTTCGAATCCAGGAGCAGAAACTTTCTTTGTTTCTTCTTTTTCGCATCTTCTTTGCGTCTGTTTGTGATTATTTCTTCTCTGGACTATGCAGCAAGCACACTAGTAGCCAGATGGGATGAGAAGCCTTTTTTCGTTTTCTTTTTTAATTCCATCAGTTTGACGGGCGGCTGACTGAAATTTTGGAATTCTTATGTAGGAAATTATGTCAGAAATACAGGTAAAGAGAAAAGGACCTATAAGTTACTAGTTATGACTAACAGTCCACCAAGGCAACCAAGGTAACGAGATAATATACAGTCAGATGATAGTGCGACAAGAAGGCACAAAATAGACAAGGATATTTAAAAGACACTCGACGACCTGACACCGACCGCGTACTTCCAACGCATCTACCAAGCGCAAACCAACAACCTTCCAACTTGGAAGGCTCATGTGCGGAAAGTTCCAATGAGATGAAGGGCTGCGCCACGAAGATGTGCACGAGCTACGTCCCTCGGCAACAAAGAATGTCGAACGTTACGGGATGATGACGTGACCCGTGACCATTGGACAAACCGGTCTAACTACAACTCAAAAAAGCAAGGCAACAGACACACCCAACTTGGGAGGGTCAAAGGTATGTCAAATACGTAAAGAGGGGAAGCCAAGCGAAGGCGAACTGTCACAAACCGAAAGCCAATATCCTACTAAACTCCATGTTGATATAACGATGATGGACATGATGCATTGTGAGAGTCCAAAGAACAGATGTACTATTGTAGTATCCCTGCCCGACCAATACGGAAGCAGTACGGAACTAATACGGAGCTTTGCCTGATGTATATTTAGTGTATCTCCGTATGTAAGCGTACGGCGTCTGCTGCATATAAGCGGCTGCGCATTTCTGTTTTGATGAAGAGAAGATTAGATTAGATTGGATAGCAATGAAAGCTAACTCGAAGAATAAGGATTCAGCCTCTAGGTGAGCACCGGAGAGAAAGTCAGTTATTTTGCCGCTTCTTCTTTCACGAACGATTATATCTCAGGTGTGTACCTGAAAGTAGAATAAAAGTAATTATTGTTGATTTCACCGCGCCTACCACTCGGCTACCTATTACATTGGTGGCAGCGGTGTAGTTTTAAATAAAACAACGTGATTCGACCCCAGACCCCCATGGCTCAACCCGCTGCAGCTCCCTGCGACGAATCAAGGGAGGGTAGTCCCCAAGACCAGCAGCGTTTGATTTTCGCCGGCACGCAGTCGGAAGCAGGAGCCCACTCTTCACTTGGTACTTCGCCTCCGTGGTGGGATGCAGATTTTCGTCAACACTCTTCCTGGCTAGACAATCACTCTTTACGTCGCGCAAAGCGATGCAATCGACAACGTGAAGACCACGATTCAAGACGAGGAGGGAGGTTATTTGTCTGACGCCGAGCTAGCCGCTCTGAGTCACCGGCTCAACCAAGATGAAGATAAAACCTGGCTCGCCCTCCGCCATAGCTCCAGCCGCCGCCGTGGTTACTAACGCTGATTCCAGGTATGGCATTTTCTTTCCTGTCTTCCTTCAGTCTCCCTTTTCTCTTCAGTCTTCCTTTATGCGAGTGTGTGAATCCAGTTTAGTTTGGTAGGCGTCTGATCATGGTGAGCCACGGTTTACCCAGCTAACGTGGGACAATGTGTGTGACAACGCCCCTTATAGTTATAGTGTATTCAGTTCGGTTTTTGAACTGCGATGTTCCTGGCGGGTTGTGCCAGCGTGCAGCAAGAGTGCTGTGGTTTCAGGTCCTATTTGGAGGACAGTTCTTTCCCTTTTGACCCCGTGAGATCGTGTGAACCTGGTGTGCTTTTACTTCTATTTTATGATTTGTTATCAGTTCATTTCTTCTGTCTACTCTAAACGTTATCATTTCCGATATAATTTGCCATCTTCCGGTTGACGCTGTTGTTCGTAACTCCTCACTAATTTTTTGAAAATCACGAGGGCGTGATTATCTGTAGGAAGGGAGGGTGTAGTATCCCTGCCCGACCAATACGGAAGCAGTACGGAACTAATACGGAGCTTTGCCTGATGTATATTTAGTGTATCTCCGTATGTAAGCGTACGGCGTCTGCTGCATATAAGCGGCTGCGCATTTCTGTTTTGATGAAGAGAAGATTAGATTAGATTGGATAGCAATGAAAGCTAACTCGAAGAATAAGGATTCAGCCTCTAGGTGAGCACCGGAGAGAAAGTCAGTTATTTTGCCGCTTCTTCTTTCACGAACGATTATATCTCAGGTGTGTACCTGAAAGTAGAATAAAAGTAATTATTGTTGATTTCACCGCGCCTACCACTCGGCTACCTATTACACTATTATATTCAATAACGTTAGTGCCTCTGCGTAGCAAAATATACCTCTCTTCCTCAATTATTAGCCAAGTTATAATGTGAATCTTGTCTGCATGTTAAATTAAGCAATGTGAAAAAGTGGGTTTTAGGAAAGGGGCAGAAAACCGAATTCGAGGTTCAAGATGGTCTCTTGAAAGTTTGCACTGTATAGTCAATAGACCACAGCACCTACATGCATGTGTACTACCAAATGTTGGTCAAGATCTGACAATAAATGATTTGGAGCAAAAGTGTCCCGAACTAACTTAAATCATATTTTAACTACCTTAGAAGACAAGAAATTCCAGTTGTTGAAATTACAGGTAAACGTATAAAAAATCAGGCAAACTTATTTTTTCTTCAGACTTTTTCCCTTTTCCATTCCCTCAACCTGTGAACCTACTTTCAATAAAATTTAAAAGTAATGACAAAAAATCTGTTTTATTTCGAGGTAAATGTATCTTGGATTGTATCTTGTATCTTCCATTGGAACTTGTGTATGTGTGTGTTTGCGTGTGTGTGTATGTGTGTGTGTGTGTGTGTGTGTGTGTGTTATCGTACGCTTTCCAGTCTCTGAACGCAAGCCTGGAGAAGGAAAAAGCCAAAGGGAAAAGCCAAGAAATCAAGTTGTTGAAACTGCAGGTAAGCTTACTTTTAATAAAAATATAAACAATTATTTCGTAAAATTAGAAACATTCACAAAAATCTGTTTTTACTTCTAAGTACAGTGCGTACATGCATCTTGGATTGTAACTTGTGTCTTCCATTGAAACTTGTGTCTTCCATTGAAACTTGTGTCTTCCATTGTAACTTGTGTCTTCCATTGTAACTTGTGTCTTCCATTGTAACTTGTGTCTTCCATTGAAACTTGTGTCTTCCATTGAAACTTGTGTCTTCCATTGTAACTTGTGTCTTCCATTGAAACTTGTGTCTTCCATTGAAACTTGTGTCTTCCATTGTAACTTGTGTCTTCCATTGTAACTTGTGTCTTCCATTGTAACTTGTGTCTTCCATTGAAACTTGTGTCTTCCATTGTAACTTGTGTCTTCCATTGTAACTTGTGTCTTCCATTGTAACTTGTGTCTTCCATTGTAACTTGTGTCTTCCATTGAAACTTGTGTCTTCCATTGTAACTTGTGTCTTCCATTGAAACTTGTGTCTTCCATTGTAACTTGTGTCTTCCATTGAAACTTGTGTCTTCCATTGTAACTTGTGTCTTCCATTGAAACTTGTGTCTTCCATTGAAACTTGTGTCTTCCATTGTAACTTGTGTCTTCCATTGAAACTTGTGTCTTCCATTGTAACTTGTGTCTTCCATTGAAACTTGTGTCTTCCATTGTAACTTGTGTCTTCCATTGAAACTTGTGTCTTCCATTGAAACTTGTGTCTTCCATTGTAACTTGTGTCTTCCATTGTAACTTGTGTCTTCCATTGTAACTTGTGTCTTCCATTGTAACTTGTGTCTTCCATTGTAACTTGTGTCTTCCATTGTAACTTGTGTCTTCCATTGTAACTTGTGTCTTCCATTGTAACTTGTGTCTTCCATTGTAACTTGTGTCTTCCATTGTAACTTGTGTCTTCCATTGAAACTTGTGTCTTCCATTGTAACTTGTGTCTTCCATTGAAACTTGTGTCTTCCATTGTAACTTGTGTCTTCCATTGAAACTTGTGTCTTCCATTGTAACTTGTGTCTTCCATTGTAACTTGTGTCTTCCATTGAAACTTGTGTCTTCCATTGAAATTTGTGTCTTCCATTGAAACTTGTGCCTTCCATTGAAACTTGTGTCTTCCATTGTAACTTGTGTCTTCCATTGTAACTTGTGTCTTCCATTGTAACTTGTGTCTTCCATTGTAACTTGTGTCTTCCATTGTAACTTGTGTCTTCCATTGAAACTTGTGTCTTCCATTGTAACTTGTGTCTTCCATTGAAACGTGTGTCTTCCATTGTAACTTGTGTCTTCCATTGAAACTTGTGTCTTCCATTGTAACTTGTGTCTTCCATTGTAACTTGTGTCTTCCATTGAAACTTGTGTCTTCCATTGAAACTTGTGTCTTCCATTGAAACTTGTGTCTTCCATTGAAACTTGTGTCTTCCATTGAAACTTGTATCTTCCATTGAAACTTGTGTCTTCCATTGTAACTTGTGTCTTCCATTGAAACTTGTGTCTTCCATTGAAACTTGTGTCTTCCATTGTAACTTGTGTCTTCCATTGAAACTTGTGTCTTCCATTGTATCTTGTGTCTTCCATTGAAACTTGTGTCTTCCATTGAAACTTGTGTCTTCCATTGTAACTTGTGTCTTCCATTGAAACTTGTGTCTTCCATTGAAACTTGTGTCTTCCATTGAAACTTGTGTCTTCCATTGAAACTTGTGTCTTCCATTGAAACTTGTGTCTTCCATTGTAACTTGTGTCTTCCATTGAAACTTGTGTCTTCCATTGAAACTTGTGTCTTCCATTGAAACTTGTGTCTTCCATTGAAACTTGTGTCTTCCATTGAAACTTGTGTCTTCCATTGAAACTTGTGTCTTCCATTGAAACTTGTGTCTTCCATTGAAACTTGTGTCTTCCATTGTAACTTGTGTCTTCCATTGAAACTTGTGTCTTCCATTGAAACTTGTGTCTTCCATTGAAACTTGTGTCTTCCATTGAAACTTGTGTCTTCCATTGAAACTTGTGTCTTCCATTGAAACTTGTGTCGCGACTGGTAAGTGTCGTCGCGCAGGCGTGCAAAGGCAACCGAAGGTGCGCTATAGCTAACTAGAGTAGACTGACGAACGAACGAACACACACACACACACACACACACACACACCAAGTCAAAACGGGCTGCCTTTGATTCTTGAGAGCACACTCCAATCAAACAGAAGAGAAGCAAAAACGATCGACGTCGACTTGAAAACAACAAGGCTCGCTCGTTAGGCAGGGGCGGGTAATGCTAGCATTATGGCTGGCATTATAGTCCCTTTTTCAGGTGGCATAATGCTGGCATTATAACACCATTTCGCATGCACAATTGGCACTACAAGCATAATTGCCGGTCAACAACGGTGTCATGCATGAAGCTGGCTAGGTCCAGTTCCGAAAATCGTGCATCTGAACCCGTCCGGCTTCGTCCTGAGACTTGACGTTGCAAATCAACCTTCTCAGTGGATTGTTTCAGACAACATGCTCACTGCTGTTTAAGTTGTTTTCTTCTACGCTTTGGCCTTGATCCAAGACGGCCTTCTTAAATCGACTTTTCCAACTTTCAAACTGGCATTGTGGAGTAGTGTGAGCATTATAAGTGGCATTATATCCTCATATTATGAGCATTGCCTTTAGCATTTTCGCAGCAAATAACTAGCATTACCCGCCCATGCCTATTGCTCGTGGTAAAAAGAGAATCCTGAAGTTTGACGGGTAAATGCAGCAAGCAGCCCGAACGTACCTTGCCAGAGTGCTCAAACTGGCAAGTCAGTGAGCTCTGCATTTCGCAAATAGCGAAGGTACTACCCCACACAAGAGTGCTCAACTACTACAAGAGCAGGAGCGAAATACATTATTGTGTATGTGTGTGTGTGTGCGTGCATGCGCGCGCGCGTGTGTGTGTTTAAACCCTTTGTAATTAAGAAAACCCATCCTTGCAATAATAACCTATGGCTGGAATGTTTTCGAAGGCAGCTGGTTGGATAATTCTATCACTGGCTAGAGGCTGCTATCCATAAAGCTGTGTTCTATTATATAGGCCCTGGCGGATAATGCTCGAAAGTTTGATGGATTCTGCTTTTCAATATGCTCGCATTCTGCACCAAAATAGCTTGAATTGTTCTTCGGAAAATGGAAATAGTGGCATAGATTGTTAATGTTGCAGATTGATATGTACCTGCATTTCATATTCGGAGCATAGTGCGCACCTGCGATTTAGGGCCTAAAATAGCACGTCTAAAGTGCGCACTATACTCCGAAAAATACGGTAGATATGAAACCACTCCATACGGGCTATTACAAGTACATGTAGTTGGTGAACTCTGTTTGTTTTCCCCTTATTATGTACTCATTTCTGTTTCTATAGGAGCAACAGAAATGTAACCCCGCTGAGCTGGGCTTCGCTTACACGGCAGATCGTATGACATTCGGTGGTGTCGCTCAGGTTGCCAAGGTAACCATCAAGAAGAAGCAATCGTCAACACTACTTCACATTTCCTACACTAGTAATATTCGCTCCTACGGAAACCACGGATCGCAGGCGCGATGGTATGCCAAGATTAATGACCTAGAATGCACCATTCCAAACAAAGTGGACATGCTTTTATACCGTGACAGTAGCTTAGGCCTATCTTACTCTCCAGCTCACCTGGATGGTCTATGCAAAAAAAGCCGGACTGGACACTTCTCGGCTGGTTATCACACAGTATCTATCCACACTGAGGACGTGGGTGGCGTGGTACCTTTCAATGCATATACTGGCTACCTTAGCACCTCAACACTTCAAGTTCGTGAAATTTGTGGCTAGTTTTTTTGGTGCGTTTTATGTCCCCATGACGTCGAGACCTCAGGGCGGCTGAGGACAAAAAGTCTCACCATCACTATGCTCCCACTACGCCATATTTTGTCTTAGCCTGTGGGCTGTGACCATTGTAAAAGAAATATTTAAAAAATTAATGCTACGCATGAATCTGTTTACATTATAATACTGAAGTAATTGTGTTTTGTCACCTTCTCTATTCTCACATAGTTGTGTGGGTAGGGTTCACAACATCTCCGTTCTACACTATTCATTCGTGTTGATTTGTCACAATCGGTCACGTGATAGCTAGTTGAGTATACACACATTGTGCCAGTATCCTCTATAAAACAATATCATTTAGTTCAACCACTTTCATTCAATATCTGCCTCTCCTCTGATGGGTTCCCATCACCAAAATGGAACGAAACAAGGCTTGTCAGGAGCTACTTGTAGCTGGTGTGGAGTGTGTCTGGTGAAATGTTCCTGTTGGTGTCTGGTGTCTGAAGCCCTTCTTGATTGCTGATCTTCGTAAGCCAACGTGCTTGGTGTGTGTATGTGTGTGCGTTTATATGTGTGGTGGTTTGTGTATGTGTGTGTGGGTGCCTGCAGGACTGCATGAGTGCGCGTATGGAGCTATAAAGCCGAGACCTCTGGTCGGCGGAGCTTAATGGGCCCCACCACCACACTCCATCATTCACCCCAGTGTCTGGAGATATGTGGATTTTGTAGAAAAAAAAGAAAAGAAAAATACCGGTATACATTGAACATGTATGTGCTCTTGTGTATGCATGGACAGACTCAGGCTCACGTTCAATAGGCAATTGAGTCACCTTTCCAACAATCATTTTTTATCTCTCTCTCTCTACTCTCCCATGATCCCAAGAGGAGGCGCACGTGAGGCAGTAGCAAGTACACGTACAAATATGGACAGAGTGAAATGTCACTGGTAAAGGATCTCCAGGTAAATCGATCAGTCTGCAGAGCCATCTGACATATATAATATCGTCATGGCAATAAGTTTAGACTCACTGGCATTCATTGATTCAGTTCAGTGTTCTACATGCTGTTGCAGACCTGTCACCAAAATGTGTATTATTACTTCGAAGAAGAAGCATACAGGGAAGTTGCCAATCAACCACACACGCCTTGACCTTGACCTTGCCCATTCCGTAGAAATGATAGCGCATTGGTATTTCTCCAGTCTATGATATAATTACTGATGGCGTTTCAGGTCGCAGCTTCAACGGTACATGTACATGCGACCGCAGGCGCAACAGTAGCTAGCAGCTAGCTGTGGGTGCCTTGGGTTGTCCACGGGAATGATCCGCCACTTCGGACGGTTCTGGGCTGCATCGTACCAGCCACATGTCGGGTGGCTCAACCGACGCACGTACACACAAATCGCACAGACACACACAAAATGCATCTCTCCTTCTGTCTAGTCTGGCTTTGGCGTTTAGGACTACATGTAGGGACGTGAACCCACGCATTGCGTACTTGTTCAGCCTTTGCCCGAAATACCCCCAAACCTGATGCATAACCATTCCAAAGATAATTGTTCATAGCATAACTCAGTAGCGATTGGCAGTACAGCGATCAATGAACGATCACATCTTTGTTAGGCAATGAATGAAACTACATATGCGCACTCATACCACAATCATAGCAGCGAATAAAGAGTCCCAGAAAAACCTATTACTCTTTGATATCCTCTTCAGTCACGAGCTTCCATTGAGAATTGTGACAAGAAAACGTTCTGGAACACTTCATTCGTTGCTATGATTGTGATAATCATGAGTAAGCATGGACTCGGATGAAGAGCCAAGGATAAATTTATAGCAAAGAAAAAGGACCAAGAAACTACAAGTTACAAGTGTCGTGCAATGTTATCGCATCAGCTGATTGTTTAGTAACCGGTGGTGTGGTGGATATTCTAGCATAGCTTGTAGTTTCTTGCTCCTTTTCTTTACTATAAATATGAGTAAGCAATGAAATGTTTTTTTTTACACATTACCCATTAGGATACCTCAACGCAAACACTCAAAACACGTCTCTTTGCTGTATACGTCATCAACCTTTTCACCAAATTTTCGGGCATGGCCAATCATCAGCAGGCACCGGCGGATTATGCCGGCATAATTATTGGCATAATTTGGTGGTTGAAAATCTGGAGCATAATTTGGCATCCTCTAATAGGTAGGAGCATAACTACACGATTATACCACAGTTCTAGCATGTAGGCTATACAATTGTGTACAATGCACCTGATCAGTGCTGGTGGTCTGCATGGTAAAGAGTTTGGAGGTCATGCAGGTAGTGTTTTCAATGAAAAGCAGGGTAGAAATCATGGCAATACAGTATTGTATGCTCGAACTCGTCTTCTTCAAAGTTCTTTCTCACACTGACACAGTACATGTAGCAGAAGATGCGAGTGAATCAGCCTTCATGAGATATCCCGGGGCGGACGAGATAGTGGCGGGTGGTCCGCAAAACTCCGTGTACATGTCATGTACCGGTGTAATGTACATTAAATTTTGTACATTATGCATACTACGAAGTCATGACCTCTGGATTTTAGCAGCCATGATATGACTGCAGGCTATGGATATTGCTCTAAATTGATGTATAGTTGATGTTCGGTCATGATGGAAGGAGAAGTCGCGCTACGGGTGAGATGAGCTGACTATTCGCAGAATGAGGGTGACATCGGTTGGACGAGTATGATGATTACGAAGACAGTTGAACATTATAATTTTCAAAGGTAACTCAAAATAATTTGGCAATGAAATAATATTTTTACTGAAGTACAAAAGGTTGATAAATATGGTGGTAAAGACACACCTGGCAGTATGGCGGTAAACACACGCCTGCCCACACACGCTCTCTAGGCTGCAAAGTTCTGGCACAGAGCTCTCCTTCTCACCACCACCAAAAGGTAAACAAATGCGTCGAAAATGTTTGCTCAGAGTTCATCCCGTCAGCTGTGCTGGCGAAATCGCGATGCACAATACATGAATAGTAATTTTTAGTATCCTCCTACTGCGTGATGCGCTCCGATTTGGGACCGGCGGATTCTGCTCGAAAAGGTGGCAGATTCTGCTCCAAAAGCAGTAAAATTGGCAGAACCATACAAACCTTATGGCGGGCAATTCCTCGAATTCTGCTGCATTTCTTTATCCACATGCCAAACATGCATGAAACGTACCAGAAAAAGTACCGAATTCTGCCAATTTTTCTGCCGGCAGAATCCGCTGGACCCTAGCTCCGATGTCAGCAGCTGCTGGCATGTATTAATGTATTGTACAGTCAACTTCGCTAATAACGACTGCGGATATAACGACAGTTCGCGAATAACGACAGAATTTCCATGCCCAGAGCAAAGTCCCATCCCACTGTAATACATAATGAGACTTCGGGTAAAACGACACTTCGCGAATAAGGACAATTTTTTGATGCCCCACCGAGTGTCGTTATAAGCGAAGTTGACTGTACATGCATGTTCTTGTTGGTATGTATTTCTTTATTTTGAATTCGCAAGTACACACGGTGACACGGGCTATAAGCTTACATGGAAGCGAATGTGAGAATGGAGTTAAAGGTCGGATTAGTAGGTCTGACACACAGCGTCAACTCACTACCGCTGTTTCGTAGCAACAGTTGGTCGAGCTTGACAGCAGTCGTGACCAGTTGGTAGCAGTTGGTAGCAGCATTATCTGAGCTGCCTGCTTTTAAACAGCTCTGTGCACTCCTAGGTGAATACGTGTGCAAGAAATCAATAACAGCTACATGTACATTGTACATGAGGATGTACTGTATACGATGCATGGAAATGAAACAGATCCGTAGGACCGAAATGATTCGCTCCGTCACCCCGCGATGTTAGCTACAATGTAGGACTGAATGCAAGTACATGTACATGTAAGTATAATGTTCAAATGCCCGTGTAGATCTACGCATGAGATAGTCAGGATGGCCAGATGACTAATAGTGCGCATAGTACCTTTGATTTCTCCCGTTTTTAATCTTATCAACCACCACACCACACCACACCACACCGCTGCGCTCTCCGGCCGACCTCAACACGTTGCCACAGCACACCATCAGCTGCAAAACGACACACTGCTGTGGCAACGTGTTGAGGTCGGCCGGAGAGCGCAGCGGTGTGGTGTGGTGGTTGATAAGAATTTGGACAAGGCCGAATGCTGCTACTTACCCCTCTTGATCATTCTTCCGTTTTTATTTTTAAAAAAGCCCAGTCCCATGCTCTCTGAAACCTTCTGCCAATCTTCGTCAGCCATCATGGTTGGTGTGTGTGTGGGGGGGGGGGGGGGAGCTGATCGTTTGTGTAGGTTTTTGTAGCCTTGTAGGTTCATACATGCCTGCACACGAACGCCCTTGTGCGTATACGTGTGAACGTGTGTATATGATTATGCCGGGACAGGCTCAGGTTCAGTAGCCAATTGAGTGATCTTTCCAAGATTCATTTTGAACGCGAGTACCGGGTAGTTTGGCAGTAGCAAGTACAAGTACGAGAAGTATTTCAGTATTGTATTGTATTGTATTTTTTTTATTTACGGATTCTCCTGAGGTACAGTGAAACCTATCTAAGACGACCGCTCAA